ACCTTCTGCAGCTGGCGCATCCACTTCTGCGACCGGCCCGTCTGCTGCCGCCCCCATATCCTACATTGCTGAGCAGCTAGCAGCCATCTCTCGCCAGAACGAGCAGATCCTTGTTGGCCAGGATCACATCAACACCCGACTCGACCGTGAGCGCGAAGGAAGCCGCCGCATCATTTCGGCCTAGCATTACATGATGCACTACTGGGACATGGGCCCTGCTGCTGTTAGCTACCCATGGGAGGCTTCCCCGGGGAATGAGGATCTCTACCCGCCTCCAGCCGGCGATGGTGGCGACGAGAACTAAGCTGGCTCTGCCTGCTGAACCATCAAGTTGGGCTCTGCATTTGTCTTTCTTTCCAGACTAAGTCTCCATTTTGTGTTTCCTTTTCTCTTGTCCTGTTTATTTGGATTGTAGACTTGGAACTATGGTTTCTTTCACCCAATGTGTGTGTTTTGATGACTCTAGCTCTGTGCTAGTTGGACTGGTCCTTGGCTAGTCCCCTGCTCTTGACTGGTCCGCCCTCCAGTCACCGTTCCTGACCACTATTTCACGGTAACATCGTTCCCCTTCCCTCTGCTCCATTGAGGGCAATGTCGAACTTAAGTTTGAGGGGGTGCTTTGTATTTATTGGAACGTATATATGTGTGCTTGGAGCCTAGTCCGCTGTCCAAATCTTGAGATTTGAGGGCTCCAAGTACTTCTGTTTGCTTGACCGTATTGACACTGTGGGTTTAATTGGTGAATCGAATGACTTTCAAACTAATGCATGACAGTTGGATTGTGACTAGGACAACCTATAATGATGACTGAGACATGCATTAGAGTTTTGTAGGGGTTCAGTGTTTCAACTGTTTGCTTACCAACTGTGACTTGGATTGATCACTTGTTCTTGACAGTCTTTTATGCATCTAGTTCAGGGAATCAGAATGAGAGATAGAGCATATAGGTAGCCATGTGAGATTTGATCCTGCTCGTTTCTTTCTTGTGCGATAGATCTCTCTTCCATGATGTGTAGCATTCACGTTGTCATTGACTAAGATGATGGAGGCATAGGAATAGCCCATGGCCAAATTGACTGTCCTGGTGTGTCATACCCCCTAGTCAGCCCCTTTGAGCCGTGTAATATCCTTTCTTTCGGTCTACAATGAAAAATCACCCGTTTGCATCTCTTAGAAGGTTCCACAGAGTGGTCTTTGCATGTTCTCTACTATTTCTGCCAGAAATAATGTGAGGGTTGGAGGTAGTTCTTAAAAGTTGGGCATGTGTTTGAAAAATATACAGAGGTGGTGGTTCTCTCAAGAAATGAAAAAAAAAAGAATGAAACCAAAAGAGAGCCACTTCCAAAAATCTGAATCATGCTCATTAAGTAGTGTTTCTTAGCAGTCTGGCTTAGAAATACTAACATTATTGTGACCTCCTTCGCTCTTGTGCTCTAAAGAATTTGAGTAATGCAGAATGGCAGAAAGAAAGTAAGTGGTTTGATTGGCTGTGAATGTGTTGGGTTTGGAACTGTGGAACCTTGTGCTATGAATACTTCCACCACCTAAAAAGCTTTTTCCCCATGTCCAAGACCCTAGCCAGTCATTTGAACCTGCGTCTAAGACCTCCGGATTAGTTAGTGATGACACCCAATATGTGAACTCTAACATTTAGAGGTTGTCGTCATGGTGAAGAGACGTTAGGGATTGAGAGAATAAGTATGCGCATTTTTCGCATCAAATTGTCCTTACCCCACTGGTCGAGAGTGAGCGATTCATTTCCTTGTTCTTTACACTCTTTACCCCGGTAAGAACCTAGATGGCTCGGTCTGGATTCTGATGTCTTGAGTTTTATGCATGAGGTGACTGTCTTGAATAAGTGGTTGAGTCAAGTCTAGGTTGGTTGGTGAACCGAAGGGAGACTCTTCCTTTACCCGATTTTGCTGCACTCGAATGTCCTCTGTGGTGGTTGTCCCGGTTGCTGTTGAAGTTGAAGTTGTCCAGGTGTTGATATCTAAAAGCTAGCATGATTCCCGTGTTTCGTGCCTATATTATATGTCTCCAAAGTTTGCATGATTGAAATGTGTTGAGCTTACCTTGTATCTGACTTGGTTTGCTTGGGGACAAGCAAACGGTTAAGTGCGGGGGAATTTGATAGCATCGTATTTGCACATGTTTGCACTCTTGTTTCATGACCATTTTAGCTCGAATTTGTGGTTCCTTGGCCTATTTTACGCTAGGGTGTGTTGTTTTGTCGTATCTCAGGTCCTAGCGCATAAAGGGATGCATAGGTGCAAGTTTCGGGTCATTTGGAGGTCAGTTGGCGATTCAAGATTCAAATTACGGGCATCCCCTGCACAATTACGGGCGTAATTGCCTCTGCCCAGACCGTAAATGTAATGCCGAACCAAATCCCTGAGAATGTCTTTCGAAGAGCAAAATAAGGGCAAGAGCAGATTGAATTACGGTCGTAATTACATGAATACTGGCAGTAATTGGATAATGAAGACCGTAATTCCCCTCATCAGTGTTAAGTGAAACGCGCGTTTGGGTGAAATACGGGCAGGCCATGTTTACGACCGTAATTCAGCCCGTATTTCGCCCATAATCGGGTTTTTGAGGCAGATTGGAGCCAAAGGTGAGAGAATCGAGTTTTTGAGCGAAAAACATAGCTTTAGAGAGAGAAAGTGCAAAGAACAAACCCTAGGAGCTATTTGGAGTGGATTTCTCACCATTGAAGCCCAGATTGCATCCCCATGAGTGAAGATCGACATTCCAGAGCATATTATCCCCATCTTTATGAGTATGACTGCTCTGATTTCTGTTTTCCTCTCTCTCTATGGAGTAGAACCCTCTCTCACTTGGGTATGAAGAACCCTAGTTCCATGTGTTAGGAATCTTGATTGTAATGACTTTGGATTGATATACTGATTGATTTTAATCGATTGATGCCTGATTCTTTGAGTCAATTGAAGTCTGGTCATCTTTTCTTGATTTCTGCTGCAACCTGAGATAGATAGACTCTGATTAGGTTGTTAGAGCTTCCTCAATCGGTTGTGGTAGATTGGTTATACGAGAGTTAATCGATTTACTGCTTTGTACTGGAATCAAATTCCAGTAGTGGAGTTCTGTGTTTATTGCCTCAGCAGTCTATCCCGGTGAAGGCTAGTCGCCTGCCGGTTAGTCTGCCTGAGAGGGCTTGGTCAGCTTAAGAGATTCCAAGATATTATCGGATCTTCCGCAGTTTAATCAACAGTTAATCAACCCAGGGTAATTACAACCTTGACCTAACTAAGTAGCTAGGGGGACTCATCCCCGAGTGACTCTTCCCTGTTTAAGAATCTCGAACCATTTCCTGCTTTCTTACTGCTTTTGCTTAAAATCACACTCACTCGACTTAGTTTGCTAGATAATAGATAATCACGGAGTAGGCAGTAGATCTGGACCCCGGGTTGACAAATAGAGCTTGCCACTTTACTGCATTTCCGGACTGCGATTACACTTGGTCGCAGTTTGGTGTTGTGTTTTAGCGTGTCAGCTACCTAGCGTACGCCCGGACGTACGCTAGCCTGAACTATATATATATATATATATCCAAACTTACTTGAGGCGGGTAGGGAATTGTTTCTTAAAAATTGCTATTTTCATAAACCGTCAGTGAGGTAATAGGCGTTAACTAATTCAATATCAGATTCGGGTCAGTCAGCACCAGGCCTGACCCTATTTAAAAGGTGGATTAGCCCTTCCGCCTCCTCGCTATACCCCGCATTGCCGTCTCGTCGTCCTTTTCTCCCCCACTCCTCTTTTATTTCTCGGAGATCCAATCTAGGGCAAGGGCTGGTTCATCCTCTCCAGAGTCGAGATCCTCCTCTGGCCGCTGGTTTCTCAGTAAGTCGCATCTCTCTTTTCCCCCCTCTATCGACTCTTCTCATAGATAGCTAGATCTGTATTCAGGTTATATGTTATCTCCGATCCATTTTTCCTTTTTGTATTTATACAGCTGATAAGGAATAGTCTTCGCCGTATTCATTTCGTAGCGACATTAGATCTAATGCGTTGTTATTGTTCTTTGCTCGCACTGGCTTCTTATACTTTCCGTTAATTTTCGAGTCCTTTTATCAATCTAGATTGCGTTTGATGTGTTCATGGGCTGAAGGATGTTATCTCGATCATGGTTTTATTGGCAACCGAATAATTTTGATGCCTCCTTCATCGTTATGTTAATCTCGCTAGGTCATCCGTAAAAGAATATTCTTGCTAGGTTACTGGGGGAAATAGGAGGATGGGAGCGATGATGTATGTATTGGCTTCAGTGACGATTAGGGATTTCTGGTCTCGTTTCTCATTACGAGTTGCTTTGCAACATTTCACATGTATTATCGTTGATTAGCCAGCATGGAGTGCTCATTGTTGATTCATTTTCTATTTTCTATGATTAGAAGAGCTGCTAAATTTTTTACGTAGCTTATGATTTTTTAGGTTATTAATATCTCGCTAATTTGTTATTTACTTTGTGTAGAAGAACAAGATGGGTCTGTCATTCACGAAGCTCTTCAGCCGGATTTTTGCCAAGAAAGAGATGAGGAGCAGTCTGGATTTGCTGCCTCCATTTTATTACTGCTAATTCACAGAATTTTCTTGTTTTGTGCTTATTGACGGTCTTGTGCTAATAAGAAAATAATTCATTAGCACACAACATTATCATAAGCTAAATTCACTGGAGCCATCTTGTCTCTTAAGCTTTTTCTCCATCATATGGAGTCTCCTACTTGCATATTCCTGTGTCATGGCTGTTATGTATGCCTTTCCATGTCCCTAATTGAAATATGATTACAAAACATATTACTATACCATTGTATAGGAATCTGGCCGCTATAGTAGGTTGTGCTGACTTCTATAATTGTATGTGGTTTGTAAATGAAGTGTGTTCCTGTTGTCAACAGAACACCCAGGGACTGATCTTTGTGGTTGATAGCAATGATCGTGATCGTGTTGCGGAGGCTAGGGATGAACTCCATCGCATGTTGAACGAGGTATAGTCACGTATATCTCTCTGGGCATGACTTTCAAAAGTGATGATGACACTTGTTCTTTCATCTCTAATCTCCCCATTTCTCCCCTCAATATGCAGGATGAGTTGAGGGATGCAGTCCTCCTTGTTTTTGCAATCAAGCAGGATCTTCCTAATGATTGAATGCTGCTGAGATCACTGATAAGCTTGGCCTTCATTCCCTTCGTCAGCGCCACTGGTATACAATTTTTGGTTCACTTATAGTTGTTTCTCGCAAGTTTGTCTATAGCCCATCTCTGCTACCTCCCGTAAAGAGCTTTACAGGTCATTCAGTTAGCTCATTGCTAGTGGATGATATTGTTTTTCTCCCTCAGGTACATCCAGAGCACTTGTGCTACATCTGGTGAAGGGCTTTACGATGGGCTGGATAGGCTGTCCAATAACATTGCGAACAAGGTATTATACTACACTCTCAATTGATGTTCGAATTCTCGTCAACTATCTGTAGCGCGCTACAGTGTCATTAGACCTAACGTTTTCTTGTGGTTGAATGTTCTCAGTCATAGAGGAGTAAATGACGTGTCCTAGATGTGTTGCTTCCCTACTACCCGCTAGGCGATGGATGGATATGTTATATTTTGATGTTCGTTTTATTCCCCGAAGGATACCCTTATCCTATAATTGTCGAGAGAAAAGGTGATGATATATGCAAGTGAGATTGGTAATGTCATTTGAAGATTCAAATAATTCCCGTATGATTCAGTATAATCCTGTTATGAGATTTTGCTATGTTAACCCTTTTTTGGTTTTGGACATAATTAAATCCTATTCGTTCATTCCTTGCTATTGTAAAGAATGATGTTTCTGGCCATGTAAAGTGGCCAACATTGCTGTCTTGAGATGAAACAAGAGGCATCCTTCCCTTTCCAAAGGAAACTCGACCATTGTTTGTGCGATTAGCCAACATTGTCCCTGTGAATGCTTCACTGTCAATTTAAATCGGCTGCGGCCAAATCCGCAAAATTGATGATAGAGAACCATTTGCCTGTGGAGGCGGATTTGGCTGGACACATGCAATAAGTCAACAATAAGAGGTGGCAAATGGATTATCCATGGATTGGTGGATCCATGAATCAAATAGATTGTCCAATGGATTGGTGGATTCATGGATTGGATCAAGTGGATTTTTGGTGGATTATCCATGAATTCAAATGACATCTTCAACCTTGGACCAATATGTAAAATGTGAAAAGTTTAGGTACTAAAATTTCATAATGAAAATTTTTAGGTACCAAAAACGTAATTTTACAATTATATTTTTCGTATAAAAAATTAAATTTTATGTACCAAAATGTAAAATATGTAAATTATAGGTACCAAACCGTAATTTGCCATTTGGATCCATGGATTGATCCATGAATCCACCAATCCAATTGGATTTGGATCAAATGGATTGGATTAGGTGGATATTTTTAATGGATTGGTGGATTGGATTGGGAATTGCCACCTCTAGTCGACATTCAATTTATTTCGTTGAATGAGCATAATGATTGTATCGAGTCTCACTTGGATAGAATGATCTCGATGGATTTAAGAAACTTTTGACCGCATTAGTAGTGCAATCAAGAGAGATCAAGTGAGATTTTATTAGATGACACAAATTCAACACCCAGCAAGCCAATCACCCATCACTATACGAATCATTGTGAGATTCCTGCCACTAAGATTCCATTCGTGCCGCTACAATCAACAAGAAGGTAAACAGCTAACACCCTAAGTGAACTGGTAGTCAAATACTCATCGAGAAATTAGTTTAGGGGTACGGCCAATCATGAAATCTGTGAATAAGAAGCCATACCCTGAATAAGTTGATAGATTCTATCCATTCCCAAGAGGATTAAGGGTGCTCGAGTGCACCACCTTGACAGGGATGGGTGATAGGTCTAATGTAGTGATGTGTGTGAGATGTCACCAAATTGAGATTGTTTGGTAACTCGTTTATGGTGTCAGTCTTTGAGGGTATGTCAACGTGCTATCCAAATTGTTATAGACTTCAAAACAAATAAAGCATATCTCTTGGTGTATACATGTTAAGTCATCCATGGAGACATTATGTCAACTTGACAAAAAGAGAGACTTTCAAGTTAGCATAAGGATGGTTAAGTTTTGAGTGGAGGAGTACGTTTCGTGATATGGAGTTCTTTTACTTGTTTCAAATTATGTTTTATGTAGTGTTGTGCAAGTCTCTTCTCAAAGAAAAGGAGAATAAGAGGGGTGCCCCAAAGGGACAATACTTTTCCAACATTAACTACCTCGTCAACCATATTGACTAAGGGGCGAATGAGGTAGATGTGGATTTGGATCAACTATATCCACATGGAGCCTCTTTAAGGTTCCTTGTGAACTAACATGGCTTTGATGGATGACTAAGGTCATCATTGATGTCATGCCATGCCAAAGTTCCTAAGCCAATTTAGTTACTTTCAACGCTTCATCTCGAATTTTGCAAACTGGATCCAAGTGTTATCCTTAGGAAGAGGAGTTGGCCTAACTCATGTCAACTACATTCTACGCTTCATCTCGAATTCTGTTGACCGAACACCATTGTCATCCCTATGAAGTTAAGATCATCAACAAGCCTAGTGTGACATAAAAAAAACCAAGTGAGCCCACCGGTACTCAGTTCTTCGATTCCATACCAGTCAATGAAGTTGTATTGCTCTGCCACCAACACTATCGTACCATGTCTATTGCTAAAAGAATGAGTCGGGTCATGAACATATTGCATGCTACTTAAGTAGATTATTGATCGAGGGTGAGTGAAAGTACTCCTTCGAGAAAAGTTATTTGCAACCTAGTATATATCTTGCATGAAGCTATGTTACTACTTGATCCGTGTTCAAGTACAGTTCAATTATAAAACCGACTTGATTGAATACATGTACTAAAACTAATCATCAACAAAAAATTTGATAATTAGTCACTTACTGAAGCTGTGTTTAACTTACTATATGTATAAGAGAAAGTCATCAAGAGTCGAGCCCTCCCTAACTTCATGGCAGATCACCTCCTAAAAGTAGTAATAAACTTATTTAGGAAATTATAAATATATTAAACAATATTATCCAAAGTTTACTCGAAAAGTAGTAATTTAACTTGTTTAGAAAATTATAAAAACAGTAAACAATATTATCCAAGTTTATTCGAAAAGAGGTGTGGATGGATGGTATATTTTCTAGAAAATATGTATCTATTGAATTCAAACACAAAATTTTCTTCATTGAAATCCGTACACACACCCTAACCAAACTGATGAAAATTAATATTTAGTACAATGATCTCATAGAGGTTCTTCAATCATCAACCCATTGGTAAGAGACCCTTTCTCCAAACAATATGGATTGATGACAAGTCTTTTTGTGTAATTTTGCCATAAATTCGAAGGATAAAAAGATGTAAGCAAACCACCATTGGATACAATAATATATGTCTTTCATTAATAGTAATTGTAGTATTGTTGTACAAAACAAAAAGCCAAAAAACAGAAATGGATCCTCTTAAGATTAGCAGAGGTTTAAAATCTCCTCCGCCCAAATCCAAGTCTCCTCTGCCCACTCACTCAAAAAAAAAAAAAAAAAAAAAAAAAAGCCCAACCCATACACCTTAAAACTATGCAACTGCTGAAAATCCCCAACAGGGAAAAAACCAAAAGCTTCTCGTCCCTTCCACGGAGCTGAAACCTTTAACAATTTAATTAAACAAAGCACATTAGTAATTTACTCGTAATCATCCCGCCGCTCCTAAGCGGCCGACGGCGCTGTAACGTAATGAACAACTCCAGCCTCCGACAACGCCGCCAGAAACGGCTGCACATTCACCGCCTCCGGATCCACCACTACCGCCGCCTCTGACCCGACCCAGTTCCCGTAATCCAATGAATCGTCTTCGTAAATCTCCCACCACTTCTTCACCAGCATCTTGATGTCCTCCCTCTCCATGTTCTCTTCCTCCCCTGTATACCTCCACGGCTTAGATCCCTGCCACAACCAACATTAGTACGAAACGAAACCAGAGCCAATTGATCCCAATAACTTGTTTAATTTAACCACTTACCGCGGCACAGTAGTGGACGACTTTGACCTTTTCCAGCTGGACGTTCTCCGGGTGGCGCCACAGCATCGCGAGCACGAGATTGTACGCGTTCGGAATCGGCCGGTAGACGTCCCTGAAGAACATGTTGAGGAAATCCTGCTCGGCGAAGGGAGTCGGCGGCGTGATTTTCAGCTTCTTCATCAGCTCGTCGTAGATCGCCAGGCTGGGCTCGTAGACGAACATCCCGGCGTTGAAGTAGAGAGCGGGCTTCGGGCCCATTTTGTCGACGGCCCAATTGACTTTATCGGGCCTCTGCTGGCAGTACCCGACCTTGTACTGCGGGGTGTGGGCCCACGTCTTCTCGCAGAAGCAGTCCATCACCGCGTAGAAGTGGCCGTCGGGGAGGTCGAAGAGGTGGTCGATGTTCTCGAACACCTGAATGTCGCCGTCCAGGTAAATCATCCTGCTGTACTCCACAAACTGCGACACCAACCAGAAGTAATAACTCAATCAATCAATAAAATTACTATGAAGTAGTACGTAATTACATCGATCTAGTAGAGTATGTGTAGTACGAATTTTATTGCTGTAACAAAATTCGTACTACACATAGTCTAGGTGTGGTTCGAACCGAACTGTTACCTTCCAGATGCGGAGCTTGGAGTAATTGATGACGTAGTACGCCATGGCGAACTCGGTCTGGTTGTCGGGCGGGGAGACGGGCTCGATCTCCCGGACGATGCAGCCCTGGGAGACGAGGATCCGGCGGTGGTCCTCAGGGACGTCGGGGAGGATGGCGACGACGAGAGGGTACTTGCTCTTGGCCTTGCGGAGTCCCTTGGCGAGGCCGACGACGCCCTTCACGTAGTCGCCGTTTCCGGCGAGGAAGGTGACATAGGCGCACTTGGATATGCTGGGCTGCTTCGCCAGAGTGGTGGCGGCGGTGGTCAGGGTGCCGTTGGCGATTGGTGTGATCTCAGGAGCCATTTGTAGCGAAAATGGAAAAAAACTGTTGATGTTTGAGTGGAAAGGCTATTGAGGGAATTTGGAATCTCTTTTTCTTCTTCTGTTTGCTTTGTGATTTGGTTGGATGGCTTGTGGAGTTGTGGACTTGTGGTGGAGTTTGGAGCTACGGGAGGGCTCTATTTATGGAGAAATGGGGACGACGGTGGGAATTTTTAGAAAATTTAATTCTCAATTTGATTTAATTTGGTTTTTTTATTAATGGAAGATGGAGGGAAATTTGTGATTGGTTAAGATGGATTATGTTTTAAGAAAAGGGTGATTAATGTGGTGGGGAGATTAATTCTTTTTCTTAATTTAAATTATCTGTGTCCAGTCCACGGGAGAAGTTACTAGAGGGTGGAGTCTGCGATCGGACGGTTGGCAGAGGATCAAAACGCATCGGACGGCTTC